TAGCAGTAGTAGTAGTAGTAGTAGTAGTAGTAGTACTAGTAGTAGTAGTAGTAGTAGAAGTAGTAGTAGTACTAGTAGTACTAGTAGTACTAGTAGTACTAGTAGTACTAGTAGTACTAGTAGTACTAGTAGTCGTAGTAGTAGTAGTAGTAGTAGTAGTAGTAGTAGTGGTCGTTGTGGTGGTGGTGGTGGTTGCGGAGCAATGGTAGTGGTGCTGATGGTAGTGGTCGTGATAGTGGTAGCTGTAGTTGTAGTCGTAGTAGCAACAGCTCTAGCAGCAGCAGCAGCAGTAGCAGTAGTAGTAGCAGTAGCAGTGGGAGTGGCAGTGGCAGTGGCAGTGGCAGTGGCAGTGGCAGTGGCAGTAGCTCTAGCAGTAGCAGTAGCAGCAGCAGCAGCAGCAGTAGCAGTAGCAGTAGCAGTAGCAGGAGCAGGAGCAGAACCAGGAGCAGCAGCAGCGGCAGCGGCATTGGCAGCGGGAGTGGTAAAGGCGGCAGCGTTAGCGGTAGCAGTAGCAGTGGCAGTGACAGTAGAGACTCAGTCGCCATTGTGGTCGTCGTAGCCGTCGTCGCGGCAGTCGTATGTGTTCGTTATGCTCTGCTCATGGTGACTCTCGTGATTATGGCTCATGACCCCCTCCGGCGCTCCCAGGTTCGTAGCAGATGGGTCGACGTATTCAACGGTTGACGGACACAAGCAAACGCTGAATTGCTTCGCACTGTGGGAGGCCCGGCCTCAGAGCTTGCATGTTTACTACCACATCTACTACCACCACTACCGCTGCTACTGTACTACTACTACTACTACTACTACTACTAATAAGAATAAGAATAATAATAATAAAACTAATACTAATACTAATACTAGTGCTAATGCTAATGCTAATGCTAATACTAATGCTAATACTAATACTAATACGAATACTAATGCTAATACCACTACCGCCACTACTACTATGACTACTACTATGACTACTACTACTACTACTACTACTACTACTACTGCTACTACTACTACTACTACTGCCACTACTACCACTACTACTACTACTACTACTACCACCACCTACTGCCACTACTACTACTTCTTCTTCTACTTCTACTACTACTGTTGCTGCTGCTGCTGCTACTACTACTACTACTACTACTACTACTACCGAAAACCCTGTCTGAAACCTCAGAGCCACCGAAATTCAATTCAAATCCGTAGACCTAAAGCCCTAAGCCTCCCCTAAACTGTTTGAGCCACCTAAACTACCTAAAGTACTTGAGCTACCTAAGCTACCTAAACCCTGAAACCGGAAATCCCGAACCCTAAACCCTCAAACCTAAACCCTAAAAAGGCCAACGCATCCCTTCAGCCCCTGACCCAGCCCCGCCCCGAACGACCGAGCCTTTGTGGCCCACAGGGCGACATCCTCGTCATCGAGCGCTCCGGACCGCAGGGCCACTTCCGAGAGGCCCCTGATTAATACAGCGGCCTTTAAACATTAGAATAGGGTTTTTTTGCCGTTCCTTACTTTAGTTGTGGTGTAAGACATGCCAAAGCCTTATTTTAAGTATTAAGGCCCCTATATTCGGCTTTTGAGTTTCGAGTTTCGGGTTTTGAGGTTTCAGGTTTCGAGTTTAGGGTTTAGGGCTTTGTAAAGGTGTTTAGAAGGGCTTTCCCGAGGGGTTGTATCGAACGCTTTTACGTGGGGCTTATGAGGGTTTCATCCGGGTTTAGCAAGGAGTTTCGTGAGGGGCTTGATCAGGGTTTTTGGAAGGTTACATCAGGAGGTTGATCTGATTTTGTAGTTTGTAGACCCCTGATTCCCAAAACCCAGGCGTCTGTCAGGATTTGGATTACTTTCCAGGGCCTGGAACTCGGGAGTTGGAGTACGGGTTTCTTGGCTTTGGGATCTGAACTTGGTGTTCTTCTGGTTGGCTCTTTGGACTTTAACTTTTTGGGTTTCTATATGAACCATAATAAGGAGACTAAAAGTTTAACTTTTTGGAGGGGTTCAGAAGTCAGCAAAGGGTCAGGATTGACTACTCGGGTTCTGGCTTTTGGGATGAGGGTTCTGGGGGCTCTATCGGTGCTTGAGGTTTAGGGTCTAGAGCTTAGGGTTTAGGGGTTAGAAGACTTGTTTTTTCAATCGGCCATGTGTTACTTGAATGGCTCACTTTGTCTTTGTCGGTGGACTCATAGCCCTTCTTATGACTACCCATGAGAGTTTGTATGTACCTCAAGAGCCTTGAGCCCTGCACCCTGTTTCGACTGATGCCTGAACATGTACGTGCCCAAACCTTATCGCGTCTTGTCCAGAAGTGCATGGTGGCTGGCCGAGAATTGGCACATCGCTATTTGTGATGCTAATGATCCGAGGGAAAGCAGAAGAAATCGAAGCAGAGGTTGGGAGCGGATGGCGATGAGGGTGATGACGGTGGCAGCGCGGGGATAGAGGAGGAATGCGATGGTGTGGCCGCTGAAGATAGGAGCGACCGGACGATCCGAAAACGGAAGAGACCGACATGAAGATTGCCAAAGGGTTCGACTGCCGAAGGAGATGGGAATATCCCTGTCCTTGCAACCCCCTAATGGGCCTCCCGGCCACTTACCAGCAGTCGGAAAAAGGTGTCAACAAACCTGTACATAAACACTATAAACCTTAGTCAGCCATGTGATATGTTGCACCTCTCCGGAGTTCACTGCATTGGCGTGTAAGCTTTAGCGCACTCACTAGGGCGCGACACTCAGAGCCCAGTTGCAAAAAGGGGTTTAGGGTTTAGGGTTTTTGCGTACTGACATTTTCGGGCCTCGGCTGAAGAACGGCAGCTAAGGCAATGCTGGCAGTCATCAAGTCCGGTTTCAAAAGGGGTTTAGGCCACTTGGGGTGTTAGTTTGGGGGTTAGAATCTGGCGTCGTCGTCGGCTGTCAGGAACGTCGCATCGACGAAAGCGGCGTCCTCCACTTCACGCTGCGGGCCGGGCCCTTGCGACGTGGGGTTTAGGTTTCAGGGCCTTCGAGTTGTTTAGGGTTTCTTGGCGAGGCCAATCACGATTTATCCCCTAAATCCTAAACCCTAAACCCTAAACCCTAAACCGAACTTGAGTGAGCCCTCATCGGTATAAGGAAAGCCAAAGCATACTGTCTGGTTGACGCCTGTGGAAGCAGCGATCCGGAACCTGAAAATGTGCTTAGGGTTTAGGGTTTAGGGTTTAGGGTTTGGGGTTTAGGGTTTAGGGGAGCCACCTTCAGTACCTTCAGAGGGGCTTAGGAGGGTTGAGGCTTGGCCGTGTTTGTTAACTTTAGCATGCGCAGGTAGGCCGAGACGCCGTCAATGCAAGCCAAAAATCCGACATGATCCAACTCTCCAGGTTAGACCCATGGTTTGGGGCTTCAGGGTTTGAGGGTTCAGGGTTTGGGGAGCTTCGGGTGTTAAGGGGTTTCGCGACCCGAAACTACAAGCTATTAAGCCCCGTCAGCCCTGTACCCAGCAAATTTGGTGGGGCCTTCTTCCTAAAGGGTCTGAGCTACAGACCTTAACATCCTCGTCGAAGTCCATCGCACATAGCCTTCGGGCCCCTCAGCCCGAATGCCTTTGAGGGGTCCTTCTCTTCGGGGTTCTGCTTAAGACTTGAGCATCCTGACCCAAGTAGCCTCTAAACCTTGCAACCTCACCCCGTTCTCTGAATCCCTCAAGCACCCATTCCAGGTCCCCAAGCGTATGGTCAACCCCAAAAAGTTGGAAACCGGTTTAAGGACAAACAGTGCTGGGGTTGCTTATACATTACTCTTAGGGATTGAGGCTATTGGGTTTCCAACTTTTGGGCTTCTACTGTATAGATATAGCCGGTATAGCGGAAAAAAAGGTTTGGGGTTTGGGGTCTGTAAGCTGGGTTTTGGAGTACCATACTTGAATGCCTCTTTTGGGACGCAGCTCTAAAGGCCCCAAAGTGTGAAACTAAGAAACCAGAAGCTATAATACTGGAGCCTAAATAGTTACCAGTACAAAGACTATGTTGGGGGTTCCTTATTCTAGT